TATATATATATATACGTATACATGTGTGTATACAAAGGCAGGTCGGTAACACATGAACCAACACTCATAACCAGCTTGCTCGGCTTCAAGATTCCCAAAAGCGAAGCTGGTCATTTCAGGAAGGACGCCGGCGCGAGGCGGGCAATGTGAATCGATTGAGAAAGCCCTTCTTGCAGCAAGATACAGCAGTTACGCTCAAGGGAAGCCGAATTGTATCATCACCAACTGGTCTCTGCTATTCTCGCAACTATCGGGCTAAAGCTTGCGCCACACTTGTCTTGAGAACCCTAAACCCTAAACACTAGGCCCGCATTGTACCCTTTACCGACTTTACCAGATCATAACCGGGTGATCTGCCAGCATCACCAAACTGAGCGTACTCCTGGCCCTCCCCATACGCATCGAAAAGCCGAAGCACTGTACTTGTCTCGGCTTAGGGTTTAGGGTCAAGGGCCTAAACCCTAAACCCTAAACTAAGCTCGTTCAGTTCCTCAACCTGTATGCCTTCCACGGAGGGCAGCAAGTGGGGTCCAAGTAGGCCCGAAATAACCTCAACTATCAAGTACAAAGTGTAGCATCTTGCCCTATCCGCCCCCCCTCCCCTTCCCGCCCCCCGGTTTTCACCGCTACTTTCTGCTATGTTCTTGCGGCGGTGGTGGCGGTGGTGCGGGTTGTGCTCCAGCATGCACCCAGAAAGCTCAGCACGATATACCCCTTAAACGTTATCCTGATCCTTTGGCCTCAAAGTCTGGAAACACCGTTCCCGTACAATCACTGTAGATGGCTGCAGCCCCCCAGTAACAGTGTAAAATTCCAAACACCTCAACACTAAATCCCGAACACTTAATTCAATCATAAGCTTGAATTAGGCGTCGTCAAACTTTTTTAGAACCCTCTGAAAAGTGTATTATAGAAGTTCCGGCAATTTGTTGGAAACCCGAAACAAAGGCTCTAAGCCCTTTGCTGGGGCAGGCCGTTTTCGTGGGATGTGTATCTTTGGCATCCTCCGTGGGCCGCGTGCCTCGCCTCGAGAACCCAAGCGCTAAACTTCCACCGTCAGGGGGCATGTAGGGTTTAGGGCCGTGTACAGTCTTCTGGGCTTCAGGGGCTTTGCGAGTAGAGTAAATAGGCAGAATTAATTCGGGGTTTTCGGAATGGGGCTTAGAGTGGATCCGATAGCCCACTGTGTTGAGGGCTACAGTGTTGTCGCAGGGTTTGGGGCTACAGGTGAGCCCTCTCGTAGCAAGACAGCAGTAGCAGCTCCTGCGAAGCCTTGATTCAACAAGCCCAGAGCTAGCTATTGCAAGGCCTTGGTCAGGATGCTGCCTCGACATTTTGAGAAGAAAGCATGGGCCTTCTAGATCCCCTCAAACCCAGCACCCAAGCCCGAAATCCTGAACCCTACTGTGAACAGCAAGACTCTGAATCGCAAACCATAATAAGGAACCTTGAAAAAAGATGGCTTAAGTAAAAGCAAAGGCCTGGAAAGCGCCGGCCGGTCTTTACAAACCCTGAACCCCAAAACGGGTTTAGGGTTTAGGCTTTTCGGGTTTTAGGGTTTAGGGTTTTAGGGTGTAGTGTTTAGGGTTTTAGGGTTTAGGGTTTTAATTAGGGTTTAGGTACAAACCCTGGCGGGGTGCATGGCTTCTACAGCTGAAACATATAATGCCCAGGTGTTAGTCTAGGACATTTTCAGCTGGGTAGTTACCGGTATAGGAGCCTTATAGAAGGTCTATACACCTTATGGACGCCATATAGAAGCCCTATATACGCTAAACTCCCCACCTGTAGTTTCCTTTAAGTCAGGACAGGTGAGATTCACGATCTGGGGCTTCTGACAACCGGGTCGCAGGACTTTGAAGATGCGGGTCTCGGTTCCAGGATTTTGGGTTTCGGGCTTCTGGTCAAGGATTTAGGGTTTCGGGCTTCTGGTTAACGATTTAGGGTGTCGGGTTTCTGGTTAAGGATTTTTAAAGGTTTAGGGTGTTTGGTTTAAGGTTTTAGGGTTTAGGGTTTCTTGGGCTGTGCCGTTCCTTAGAAATTCAAGCACGAGATGGAGACCCTGGAGGCGCGAGCTGATGATGCTGAGTCTCCGGTTCCCAACCTCACGTGGGCGATGAATGAGATCGTGGCGGCTCAGCGGAAGAAGGTCCTTCCGCGCTCCTAGAAGCTTGGAAAGTCGGCGAGGCAGTGGCGGAGGGATGGGGGGCAGTGATGATGCGCGATTTCCTTCGGGCCATGGGGAACTCGACGCGGCTGAAGGATGCCATGCTAAGAGCAAATGCCCGGTATTCGAGGATCCTCGCCCATAGGGCCCGGATCGAGGAGCTTGCGACGGAGATGGCCAGGAAGTCGGACGTGCTTTATGGCCCGCAGCATGTCACCGCCGCCAAAAGTGAAGGACGAGTTGGAGAAGAAGATGGCGACAGACATTGCGCTTGACAGCCGACCCCGGTGCTTGCAAGGAGGAGCTGGCCTTGCGCGCCAAGATCGCTGAGATGGAAGCCCTAAACACCCCTAAACCGTAAGCCCTCTAAAGAACCCGAAGCACTGAGACCCTAAGAAAAAGCACTCAGCGCCGAGGGATCCGAAGCCCCTAACAGTTTGTATCAGTCAAGATCGTGAGTACGAATCAATGGTAGCCACATGTTAGTAAACATAGTCGTGATAATTGCAATAACATAAGCATGTCACAATTGTAATTAGAACCATACTAGTACTAAACATGACATCAGTAGTGATAGTAATGGTAGTTGCAATTGCGACACCACTAGTAGGAAGGACCATGCGACTAATCGTGCTGATGACCATTCGCTATATCAGAGAGAAGGAGCCAGAACCCTAAACACCATGATTCCTACAAGCCCTACCTATTTTTTGTAGGTTCCTATTAGAGACCCGGATACAAAGCCTATAGGGACCCTACCATAAAGTGGTTTTGGTAGGTCAAATTAAACCCCGTCACGCCTGAGCCTAAAACAATTGCAGAATCCTACACCCCAGAAATCTATACTTCCTAAACCCGTCACCCCAGAATCCCTGAACCTAGAATGATTCCTAATATGACCTAAAGGTAAAAGCACGCGGCAGTGCAGAGGCTGTTGCCGCCGGAGCGCTGCTGAACGCTCTGTCGTTTGCGGGCTTGGAGGCGATTCTTTCTCCGATGTTCGAAGAGTTTGTGCCTTTAGGTTAAGGGCTGTGGTGGTGATTATAGGGCTTAGGGCTTAGTGTGTGGGTTCAGGTTAAGAGGGGTTGGGGCTTTAGAGTATTGGGTGTTAGGGATGATTTTTTTAAGAGAGCTTCATACTGGGAGTATAGGGTCTAGGAGCATAGCATGGAATTAGGGTTTAGGGTGTAGGGGCGGGTGTAGGGTTCAGACTGGTTAGAGTTCTACCCGAGGGTTTGAAGTATAGAAGTGCGTGCTACTAGCTGTGGGGTCGAACTAGACTAAACTCTCTATTGAGGACCCACTCTGGGTGTAGTGTAGGGTAAGTTTGCCTAAACCATAAACCCTCATCCTAAACCCTAAACAGTTCAGAGCTTGGGTGCTTGAGAAGGGTCCTATGCCGGTCGTGGTGCTGTGGCTAAAGTCCCTTAATTGAGGGATGTACCGGAATCCATGTTAGGGAATCCGACTATAAATCAACATATATATATATAT